AACCCCAGTTCACTTTTCTCTTTAAAAAAAGATTCTTTCATTTTTGCACAATTTCCTCCCCCACCCCCCATTCCCCAGTCCACTTTGCTATTCACCTCTTATTCTGGACCATTGTCATGCAAATAATACCTAATAATATATTTCTTTTAGACAATCCTTTCCCTCCTCTGTTTTAATGCAGTGTTCACTATTTATTCCCCTTTTCTTAGTTTCCCCCAACCCCCATGTCAGTGTCATTTTACAACAGTGTCATTATGCAGCATTTGTCCTTTTTTGTCTTTTTTTATTTTATTTTAATAATTTTAATGAACATTTACAGATATTTTGGATTTTCATTCATTCATTGTTGCACTTTTCTCCCTGCCCAGTCCTCCCCCCCACCCCGCAATTTTGTTCTTCTCTTTGAAAAGTAAAAGAAAAATTATTTCATTGGTATACAATCCCCCCTGTACCTCTCCCATCGCCCGGAGTACACTCCACTATGCAACCTCAGTTCTGACTCTTGTGATAACCATAATACCCACCGGTAACCAGCTGCTCAAGATGAACAGGGCTGGAGTGACTAGGAACATGGATTAACGAAATATTTTAAACAAGGGATAGGTTAGGAGAGGCGTACAGTCTGATACTGTAGCCCCAAGTCCATTCTCTCCTGTGCTGTTATCCTCTTTTTGCACTGAACAGAAAACCAACTCAGCTTCAAGACCTACAGTACATTTGATTCTGATTTACGAGCCCCCTGCTAGCTCAGCCAGGCAAACAAGGTGTCTGCTCTTCTCATCAGCAGCAGGGAAGACCATCAGAATTTCAATATAAGCAGAGTCTTTAGGGAGGGACATTCCATTCTCAACATCCCCACATAGCCCTAGGTTTCAAGGAATGGTTAAACCTGTCTCTGCTTTGCTCCAGACATCAAACCACAATCATAAACAGCTCTGCACTTTTGAACCTGCCATGAAATAACGATTTCAGAAAATGGCTGCAGTGTGGCTTACTACAAATACCCTATCATATTATACCATTTTTAAATTGTTCTCTCCCTCATCTGCTTCACTGCAGTATACATAATTTATCCAGTTTTTCTCAGCCTTACCCCAATCCTGATGTCAGTCCCATTCTACAACAGTGGCACCATCCAGTAATTGTCCTTTTGTGACTGAGATATTTCACTCAGCATAATGTCCTCCAGTGTCAACCAATTTGAATAATATTGGATAAGTTCCTTGTTTTTCAATGCAGCTTAGTATTCCACTGTGTGAATATACCACAGCTTCTCTATCCATTTGTTTGTTGATGTGCACTTTGGTTGTTTCCAAATCCTTGCTATTGTGAACAAAGCTGTGATAAACATGGGTGTGCATATATCTGCTTGGATGTCGGTTATGGTCTCTCTAGGCTATATTCTCAGTACTGGAGTTGCTGGGTCAAATAGTATCTCTCTTTGCAACTTTTTAGGAAAGTGCCACACCATCTTCCACAGTGGTTGCACCATTTTACACTCCCCCTAGCATTGAATAAGGGTTCCAGTTTCTCCACAACCTCGCCGGCATTTGTTGTTTGCTGTTCTGTTAAATTTTGCTAGTCTGACTGGGGTGAGATGATAACTCTTGGTTGTTTTGATTTGCATCTCTCTTAGAGCTAGGGATTTTGAACAGTTCTTCATGTGCTGTTGGCCATCTGAATGTCCTCTTTGGTGAAGTGTCTGTTCATATCCTCTGCCCATTTTTCTATTGGATTATTAACCTTTATCTTGTTGTGGTGCTCAAGTATTTTATAAATTGTCACTAGAACTCCCATATCTGACATATCATTACCAAATACTTTTTCCCAGTCTGTGGCTTCCCTTTTTACCCTGTTGGAGAAGTCTTTGGATGCGCATAGGGATTTGATTCTTAGAAGGTCCCATTCATCTATTTTATCTTCTCCTGGTTGTAGGTTTTTCAGGATACTTGGAAGACTGTTTAGGTTGTGGATTAGGACTTCTAGTGTTCTTCCAAGCTTTTCTTTAATGAAGTTTATAGTCCTTGGTTTTAGTCCTAAGTCCATTATCCACCTTGAGTTGGTTTTTGTATATGGAGTGAGGTGTGGATCTTGCTTAATTCTTCTGCAGATAGTTTTCCAATTTTGCCAACACCATTTGTTAAAAAAGCCTGTGGTTTCCCCACTTAACTGATTTCATCTTGTCAAAATCAGTTGAGCATATATAGATGGGCTGCTTTCCAGGTTCTCAATTATATTCCACTGATCTATGTGTCTGTCATTGTACCAGAACCATGTTGTCTTAACCACCACGCAGTGTAGTAGGATTTGAAATCAGGGAGTGAGATGCCTCCTACCTTTTTTCTATTTTTAAGGAGTGGTTTGCTTATTTGGTGCTTCTTCACATTCCAAGTGAAACTGGAGATTGCCTTTTCCATCTCGTTGAAGAATGGTATTGGTATTTGTATTGGGATCGCATTAAAGTGTAAATTGTCTTTGGTAGTATTGCCATTTTCACAATATTGAGTCTTCCTATCCATGAGCAAGGGATGTGCTGCCACTTCTCCAGGTCTCTGTTTTTTGTAGTAATGTTTTGTAATTTTCTTTGAATAAATCCTGTGTGTGTCTGGTTAGATTTAGTCCCAATTATTTAATCTTGTGATTCACTATTGTGAAGGGTATTGTTTTTCTTAGCTCCTGCTCTGTATTCTCTTTATCACTGTAGAGAAATCCAACTGGTTTTTGTATGTTGATCTTGTATTCTGCTACTTTGCTGAACTGGTCAACTGTGTCCAATGGTTTTCTTGCTGAATCTTTAGTGGTTTCTAAGTATACTATCATATCATCTGCATAGAGAGATAATTTCACCTCCTCTTTGCCAATTTGGATACCTCTTACTTCCTTTTCTTGTCTTATTTCTATCATCAAGACTTCCAATACAATATTGAATAAGAGGGGTGATAGTGGGCATCCTTGCCTAGTTCCTGTTTTTAAAGGGAACCTTTAACCTCTCTCCATTGAGAACAATGTTGGCACTCAGGTTTGCATAAACTTTCTACCATGTTGAAGAAATTCTCCTCTATGTTTTGTTGAGTATTTTAATGAGGAAAGGGTGTTGGATTTTGCCAAAGGCCTTTTCTTCATCAATTGATAGGGTCATGTGGTTCTTTTTCTTTGTTTTGTTAAAGTGTTTGTTTTTCTTGTGTTGAAACAGCCTTGCATACCTGTTAGAAATTCCACTTGGTCATGGTGAATTATTATGTTGATGTATCCTTGAATCCTATTGACTAGTGTTTTATTCAGGATTTTTGCATCTATGTTCATAAGAGATATTGGCCTATAATTTCCTATTTTGGTTGTGTCATTTCCTGGCTTTGGTATTAAGGATATGTTTGCTTCATAGAATGAATCTGGGAGAATTCCATCTTTCTCTATTTCCTGAAATAGTGTATGTAGAATTGGTGAGGGATTCTCTGAATGTTTGACAAAATTCACTTGTAAATCCATCTGGTCCAGGGCTTTTTTT